TTTCTCTCCATTCTGCCGCCTCCCACCTCCCCGGCGGCCGGGGCGGGAGGGTTCGGAGCCGGGCCGGGGGCTGTGGGGGCTGCAGACCCTTTCCCTCCCCATTTGCGCGGAAAACGGGGGCGTCCCGCGCTGCTCCGCGTCGATCCGCGCTGCTCCGCGCCGCGCTGTACAGCGCGGCGCGGAGCAGCGCGGATCGACGCGGAGCAGCGCGGGACGCCCCCGTTTTCCGCGCAAATGGGGAGGGAAAGGGTCTGCAGCCCCCACAGCCCCCGGCCCGGCTCCGAACCCTCCCGCCCCGGCCGCCGGGGAGGTGGGAGGCGGAAGAATGGAGAGAAAGGACCTACTTTTGGGCAGTTTTCTCGCCCGCGCCTTGGATCTCATGGTGTCGGCTTGTGGATTCCTCTCCTCCTCCTTGAGCCCAGAAGCAGCTACACACTATCTTCATCTCCCAAGCATTGTCAGTTTGGACACCTTCGCACATGCGCACAGAGCATTCAATCTGACACCCTCACCAGGGCCAAAAAAACTTTCCAATGTATTCATCATCATCAGGGTGGGTTTTTTTTTTTTTTCCTTTTTTTTTTTTTTTCCCTTTTTTTCCCCCCCCCCCCCCCCCTCTCCCTTTTTCCATCCCGAAAGGCGCTCAGCTTGTGGCAGCTCCTCTCCTTTCTTCTTCCTGCCTGGGTTTTTTTTTTTTCTTTTTTTTTTTTTTTCCCTTTTTTTCCGCCCCCCCCCGTCCTATCCTCTTCTTCAGACCACTTATCTCTCCCCCCTCCTCTCTCCCAGCACCATCACAGCCTTCCCCTGATCTGCCCCTTTAAGAAAAATCAGCCCTCTCCGCTCCTCACCCTCCGCACACTGACCTTACACACTGGACAATATTTAAGGATCAAGGTGCCATCCTATAAAGAGGTGACTATCATTATATTATCATTATTATTATTATTACTACTACTACTAAATTGCAATGCTGTAGAAAGAGTTTGTTACCGGGTGTTATGTTGTAACCGTACAGATTTTAGACGCGCTTTTATTTTTCATCTGAAAAATATTTCTTGACAATAACTTTGCAATCGGTGTCTGTCTTTATTTTCTTTCTTTTTTACCCTTTTCCCTTTCTCGCTCCCTTCGGCTCGGGGGGGGAGGTGGGGGAGAGGGGATGGGGTATAACTTTTAAAATAATGCGCTTTGTGTTCCGCCGTCATTTCTCGCCTTTCTCCCGGGATATTTCTGCTCAACACCGGGCTCGAGAGCCGGGGCCGAGTCATTTCTCCGCGTTTCTCACCGTTTTGGAGCCAGAAGGCGAACCCCGCGCTCCCGCTCCCCTTTCCCGGGAGGAGGAAGAGGAGGAGGAGGAAGGGAGGGGGGGGAGCGGACGGGGCCGCCGCCGCAACCGCGGAAGCTCCGCGCTTCCCGAGCCGGGATGCGGAGCGGAGGGTCCGCGGTCCCTCGGCTCCCCACCGGGATGCGCGGATTTTCCGCGGGCAGAGGGTACCGCGCCGCTTTTTCTTCTGCCTTTTCAGGTGGAAGGCAGCGCGCTGGGGGGAAAAAAGCGCTCCCGAGGGACGGGGGAAACCGGGAGAGGCGCGGACACCCGGGAAAAAAGGGGGGAGAGGAAGGAAAAGCCGCCCCGCAGCCATCCCGCAACCGCCCCGCAGCTTCCCCGCAGGACCTGCCCGGGAGCCAAGGTAGAGAGAGCCCGGGCTTTGAAGAAAAAGAGCGAAGTGTAAATAGCCCGGTGATTGATGTGCTGGCTTTGACTGCGGAGAAAGCACTATTTTAATTCAAGTGGCCAGGTCAGATGGTCACGGAAGAAGGTTGAAAGGTAGGATTTAATGAGATTAATATGGAGAGAGAGAGAGAGAAAGCGCGCGCCTTCATAAACATTCAATAAAATAATCGGGCGAGGGAGAGAGCTCTGATTTGCGCCCGAGGTGCTGCCCCAGAAGAAAAAAAAAAATTAGTAGCCCTCTCCCCAAAGGGCATTGCCAAAACAAAGCCAAACTTCTGCGGGTGCGTCAGGTCTCTGCTGGAAGCCATTCTGCCAGCTGCACTTTTGC